AGCATTGCAATATTCAACTTCCAAGTCTATGAACAGCACAATAGGTAACACCGGAAGGCTCCAATTGAAAAATCATCAGAGGTCCTGGATGTGGCAACATACATGATCAGAACAATTCAAAGGGACCTAATAATTTCTGACATCCATGAGAAGGTACCGGGTCGATGACAAAACAAAAGTACTGGGTCATGCAAGTCACGGACAGCGCCATGAGAATCCTGACCTGTGATCTCAAATCATGTCCGAGACGCTACCAGAGTCATTCATTGCATCAAACAAAATTCTACAAGGAACATCTACTCCATGTTAAAAAAAATCAAGAGCACCTATGTATAGACAGAAGTAAACGATGTCCTACTGTGGAACAATATCATTCCAAGCAGAGTAACGGTGGTCATCTCAAATTCTACAAATTGTTAACAAAAGAACCTGCAGGTCAAGATGTTGTTGGTAATTCTAAGTTTAAAGAGCAAAATTTTGTTGGTAATTCTAAGTTTAAAGAGTAAACTGTGGTTCTACCAAGAACAGTACTTGGGCTGCTGCTGCGCAGCAACATTTATATTCCCCCCCTTCACCCCCAGTGATGTGGGACTAAATATTCTCAGGCCCCGTTCGGTACACGGGTGAAGAAATCAGAGGGACATGAAAATGTGCAGGAACAGAGTTTGTTGTATAGTGTAATCCTGCAGTTCGCGAAACAGTGGAATAAGAGAAGGTGATGTGTTCGGTTCAAAGGAAATCATTGGAGATGAGTCGTACTACTAATGCAATAAAATTAGATATTTATTGTGCCACAGAGGTGTCTAATCACTGCATGCTCGTTTTTATATTCGCCTTGTACTCTGCTTGTACTGTGTTGCCTCGGGCCTCCGCCCAAAAAAGAGGCTAGACTAGATTTTTGCATTCCTGTGAAATGGGCACTGTTGACGCACCTTTCCGCAGGAACACTGTAGCTAATTCCTTTGATCCGAACGCCATCCAAGGAAATAAAAACTATGAAATGAATATTCCTCTGGAAAGGCAAGAAATCCTGTGAAGCGAACACACCCTCAGTCTAGTACATATTGTACAGTAGAGGCTGTTCTTACCTGAGCCCGAGCGGCCACGGCCGCCTGCCGCCCTGTCCCCGCCGCGCGCGCTGTCCACCACCACGCCGCCGACGCTGCGCTGGGTCCTCCTGCTCCACAACGCCGTCCGCCGGCGCCGGTGCTCGCCGGCCACCATCGATCTGCTCGACCTATCTAGAGCTGATCCACTCCACTCGCTCCGGCGCGCGAGAGGTCACTGCGGAAGAAGCGGAGGAAGGACGGCGGCGTGGAAGACGACGACGCATGGCTTGGGCCCCGGACCCTCGGTGAGGCGCTCACTTGGGCTTAGCTTGATGCGGCCCATTTCCTGCCATAGAAACTTCGTTTTACTGATGACACCCCGCACTTTGCTATTACTCAAAAAAAATACCCGCACTTTGCTCAGAAAAGAAAAGATGACACCCCGCACTTTGTCGCGGAAATTAATTGCTATATACTTGATGAAGTTACGATATGAATATTTCATTATGTGGTCCAGAAAATATAATGCTTAATCATTTCATCTGATAAAGAGCTTTGCTAATTTTGTCTTTATCCAAATGAATATGTACTAAGACTTTTATAATAGACAAATAAAACACCATTCTGGTTTTCATATAAAATAACAAAAATGTTAACTGGCCAACCACAAATTTTTTTACAATAGCACTAGTGTCTCTGAAACTGTTTCCTCCTTGCGCCAATTACTGGTGGGACATCACCGACGCCCAATCGTCGCCATATTGCCCCCTAATTTAATTTCATATGATGCATTCATCTTAGGGCAGACCTCAATGTAGTTAATATTATGTTTGAAGTGCTTTGTACTTCCGATGATCTGTGTCTTTTCTTAAAGGGCAGTGCTAGGCGCTGGTCGACCGACACCAGCACCCCTCTCGCATCACACCTGTTCAATATGATGCCTTCTAGTGGTCAGATCACTTCGTGCTTCCCCGACCCCAAAAAATCACACCAGATGCGCATGAGGAGAGAGCGCCAGCGAATACCGCCGGTTGCCGCCATGGACAGGCGAGGCGACTGCCCTCGAAGCATCGCCATCTCGCTGCCCTCGCACCGCCGCCGCTGGTCCCTGTTGTTGTCGTCGTCTCGCCTCGGTCCATGCTGTCCTTGTCGTCGCCCACATCAATAGCACCAGTGGTCACCAACACAAAAAATCATGTTGTCGATCCTAGCAACTCCGCCGCCGGTTGTAGCATCAACATCACATGTAATGCCTATGCATCAAGACCAAGTACCGATTCAGGAAAACGTGTAGCTGGTCCCAGCAACTCACCTCGCCGGTTGCAACATTGGTGGTCGCGTGGGCCACCTACGCAACATCTCGTGGCATGGTTCCAGCTCGCCGTAGTCATCGTTGTAGCATCCCGAGGTGACAGTTCTAGTGCGAGTGGTCACCAGTTCCAACTCACTACTGTCGTCGTTGCAGCATCCGCGGTCGCGGTTCCAACTTTCTACGGCCATGGTTGCAGCTTCTTGCAATCATGTTTCTTCGTCAGAGGGAAAGGGTGAGGTGGGCGACAGCCACCGGCACCCAAAGGAAAGACGTGCAAAGGTGGGCGGAGGCCATGGCCGGTCGGCACCGTAGCGGTAGTGGCCACGACAACTGCTGGGGAGAAGAGGAGAAGGTGAGCGTGTGGAGGAGAGATTTGGCTGCATGGATGAGATAAGGGAGAGAAAAGAGAGAAGAGGATCCGAGGAATATGAGTGGCTCGCGCTGTTACAAAGAGATAAAGGAGAGGGAGGGCGGTGTGTGAGCCTCATGTGAGACGTGTGTGCGTGATGTGGGCACACGACTGACGTAGTTTTCAGCCCGCCGAAATGTTTACTTTTCTTGAAAGTACTGTGATATTATGTACTGGGAGTGGGTCTTTTGCTCTTGGGCTCCATGGAGACTTATATTTTCAAACATTAAAAAATCAACTATTTAAATATAAAAAAATCTGAAAAAGATACACAAGTAATTATAGATGTATATTAAATGTGTGTGAAATTTCATCACGAAATACGTTTTTACATGGTCTATAAAAACATCATGTGATTTAAAGTGAATAGTACATTTGCTAGAAATACCTGATTTTTTTAATTTCTGTGTAGCTCGCCTAGAAAGATATTTAATCATCAAACTTCACAGACAACATATATATCGATATGTATATGAATATGTATATTTTTTTCAGAATTTTTTGGAAAACTTTAAAATTTGAATTTTGAAGTTTTCAAATAGAGGGCTCCACGGAGCTCGAGCTCCATTAGGCAATTCCGAGTATGTAGTGCTCAAATAAAAATCCATGTCCATCCTCTTTTTGAAAACATCTTTATCTCTATCTCCACTACTTAAAAAGAATGTAAGATTTCATGTTTCATTTTTTCCCACCAGCTTTTCCTCCAACCTATTCTGTATGATAATCAACCACTTTAATTTATTTACTTCCTGAATCAATTTTACTTTAATTTACTTATCAAACTTCTGATCAAACAATAAGATAAATCACGAGCAGCATTTAATAAACATTTATTTATAGAATTATATTAATATAGACAGATAAATTGCAAGCTAACTTATTAGGAGTACAATATTTATATCTCGTTGCAACGCACGTGCATGATGACACGACATGGGCGGCATCAAACCAAAGGCCGAGTGAGTTCATGTAAAAAGAAGGCCGAGTGAGCCCATCACTGGGAGAACACAGCCACACACAACGCCGACGGCTATCCCAGCTCAGCACCTCCGCCGCCGTACTCCCTCCATCTCCCCAATCTCGTATTTGCTTTCTCTGCACTCCCCAACCTCTCGTGCGCCGAAGCGGACAGGGGACCAGCTCGAGATCGGGCCGAGGAGACCGGTGACCGTTGAGCACCACCGGCGGCAACCGGCGTGGTGGTGGCGGAGGAGGAGGAACATGGGCAGCGTCGGCGGCGCCGGTGGTGAACAGAGCGCGAGCGGCGGAGCGGGCGGGGGCAGGCGGCGGCGGCCTCTCGCTCTCGGGCTTGGGTAAGAGCAACCTGAACTGTCTTACAGTCTGTACTACCCTGAGATACAATAGTAAGCCTGTACTCTGTACCACACTCAGATATAAGTCTGTACTATTATGCTGTCCATAGACATACAAGTAGAATGTTGCAATGCTTGGCGCATTGCGGTGCATCCCAGTAAACTCTGATTCAGACACCAAGTTTTTCTCCGGCCATTTGCTTATTGATTGTGTAAAGAAAAATCTTACTAATGTGGCTATTGTATACCATAGATGTCACGGCCTGCATTGCAGTTTCACACCACAATCCCAACCAGTGCGTAAATGAGTTTGTTGAATTTGTAGATGATATCTGATAGCACTACATCTGTTACCCAATATCTATAGTATTTTGACAGATTGGCATGCCCTTTTCTGTTTACATATTTGCTTGTACAATAATATAACCTTTAAGCTGATGAATAGCCGGTTCGGCCGTTCCTGGTGCTTGCTTATCCTGGGGTTAGGAGGAAGAGGAAGAGCTCATCTCATGCAAGGTCATCTCGCCGAAGCACACTTACAACTTACAAGCTGTGGCCGTAGCCACACCTGTTCTACAGCGCCAGTAATGGAAAGGCCATTCCCAAATTCTGACACCTCAATCTCAATATGTGTACATATCACCAGGTAATAGAGGATGTTCCCAAACAAATGCAAGATGTGCATGAGAAACAAATGAGTAATTACAGAGTTGATAGCTTAGCAGCTGAGGTGATCCTCCTATCGTAAACTCTTTATGCAGATGGTACTTATCATTGTACCAGATCTATCAATCTTGTTCATGAGGCAACAAATCTAGCTATTGACGGTAATAACGTACTTACAGGCTTTCATATCAATGCCTCATTAGCGTACATCATAGATAAGTAAGCACTCTGAGCACCATCAAACATAGTGCTCATCTTCCTCCTGAACTGCTTGATATTGTGCCTGCACTCGTTGATGAAGGATATGACATGATGTATGAATCGAACCCTTCATTTTGCATCAAGGCCAGTGCTTGGAAGCTCTGGTGTGCTGGTAGCTCTGGTGGTTCGATATGCCCATCTAGGTATTGGATCACTTGCCGCATGCTAGGCCTTGCACATGCAAATGGGTGTGAGCACAGTAGTCCTAGCTTCAGCGCCAGATATGCCTCTTCGACATTGTAGTCCCCTTTAAGCCTCACATCTATTGCATCAGCAAGTGATCCGTGTTGCGCGTGCTCAAGCACCCAATCAACCAACATGACCTGCTTATCTTGTGTGCTTTGCATGATAGGTCTTTGGCCACAAGTGACCTCTAGAACAAATATACCAAATGCAAATACATCGGTAAGAGGAGTACCCTTGCCCGTGCGTGCTAGCTCTGGAGCAAGGTAGCCAATGGTGCCAACAACACGAGTAGTTTCTTGCTCAACACCACGATCATACAACCTTGCTAGACCGAAATCACCCAACCGGGCATTCAACTCATCATCAAGGAGCACATTGCTTGCCTTGATGTCTCGGTGGACAACTACTTTCTCCCACTCCTCGTGGAGATAAATCAATGCAGATGCAATGCCCCTGATGATCCAAAACCTTTGATCCCAACTTAATGTGGAGTTGTTGTCCACTTCACCATACAAGTACTTATCGAGGCTTCCTTTGGGCATGTACTCATACACTAACAGGAGCTCACCATGACGCCTGCAATAGCCAAGTAAGTGTACGAGATTTTGATTCTGAAGGCGGCCAATGCTAACAATTTCTGCGATGAATTCCTTCATTCCTTGCTTGGAGTCATGTGACACCCTCTTCACAGCTATCCTTAATTTGGACCTTGGCAACTCTCCTCTGTATACTCTTCCAAATCCTCCGGTCCCTAGGAGGTTTTTGTTGTCAAATCCTTCTGTTGCACGGAACAAGTCCTTATACGAGAACCGGTGTGGGCCAAATTCGACCTCCCAGTCGTCATGTAACTCTGCATACCTGAAATGCCTCCGCACAAGTAGGGAAACAACGGCAGCCACAGACAGGATGAGTGCTGCCGTTGCGAGTGGTAGAATGATCTGCAATACCTGCAGACGACGTCGATCCTTGGTGGGGACCAGGAGGTAATTTAGGCAGCATGGTGAGATCGATGGCTGGAGCAGGACTGTTCATGCCAAAACTCCAACCGAGCACATAGTGCTTCGTGTTTATCTTGCCTAGTGCAGCTGAGAAGCCGATGTACGCCACATCTGTGAGCACAGTTGAGAGGTTGTAGTTGGCTGATACTGTTGGCATTGTAGGTTTGGCCATGCCGAGAGGAGCCATGGTGGCGTTGATCTGTATATTCTCTCTATGGTAGTCCACCCACACCTGCATCGGCTTTTGGTCATCGAGACCCAAGCTCTGGAAGGTGCCATTCTCGTCGTGGTAGAAGCCAGCATCATGGGACTGTATGGACTGGAGGCTGTTGATGTCGATTCCGATATGGTTGTCGTTGATGTCTTGGAATTCCCAGTTCCGGAAGGTGTCGAGCTCGACTGCAAAGATGTGGTTTGTTTCGTTGCCATTGTTCTGGTGGTTGAGAAGGCCCAAGAACTGTATCGGCATCGCCGCTGATAAATTCTTGCTCGGTGCGATGAACACGGCCATGCCGTTGCTGCTCAAGTAGTCGTTGTAGATGGAGGCGATGGCGAAGACGAATGAGACGGAGAAGGACTGCACAGTCCCGTCGGACGAATTGTGGAAGCGCAGCGGAGTCGGATAGAAGGCGTGGCCCGTGCTCAGGGCCGTGCCATTAGTGAGCACAAGTAACCCGGCGGGCGTGACCGACGCCATACCATCAAGGGTGAGGTTGGCGTTGGAAAAGCCGGAGAAGCTGAACTGGTGCTCATCACCGGCGACGAAGGGTGGTGCCACGGCAAGGCCAAGAGAGAGTAGTAGCTCGAGCAGCAGAAGCTTCATGCTGGGCATGGGTGTAGGCATGCAAGAAAAATGGCTGTGGGTGTATGGATGTAATTTTACTTGGGCATTGCGTTACAGAGAAACTTGATGCAAAATCCCATGCCTGGATGTAGTGTATATGATCCGTGACGGTTTGTAATAATACTCGATCTCTGACTGACTTTTAGCCACTAATAAGTTGGGACGATGGGAAACTGGCAGCTCACACTTTGAGTCTTCAGAGTGCCAAGTCTTCAGAATTGACACAATCTCCACCAACCTTTCCTAGTCCTCTGATGCTTGTGTTAAATTTATTGTGCCGTTACAGCAACGGCGCGTGATCTCAGTCAACCTTTTCTACTATTCTGCCCGGTAAGTCTGGATCGCCCGACTTAAAAGTAAACAGATACACCCAATGATGGACCGTTCGACGCACAGTTTTCAACGTTCTTATGTATTACCTGAAGTCACATTTTCCACACCATCTTGTAAGAAACGGTCAAACTGACGGTTTTTCTCAAGGTCCATTTGTTGTACTCCCTCCGTTCCTGTCCAAAAAAGCTTGTCCCAAACTTGTCTTTCAAATAGATGTATCTAGCACTAACTTAATGCTAGATACATCAATTTGAAGGACAAGCTTTTTCGGACGGAGGGAGTATAAATCTCTCTAGAGATTCCACTACGGACTACATACGGAGCAAAATGAGTGATCTACACTCTAAAGTATGTCTATATACATCCATATGTAGTCCGCGTTGAAATCTCTAAAAAGACTTATATTTAGGAATGGAGGAAGTAATTTCCATTAGGAAAAATTGTAAACACGACTTTATGAAAAGTAAACAAATAAGGTCCAATGCCGAAACTTGCATCTCATCTTCTTACTGATAGCATTTCTATACACACTAACTAAAGGAAGAAAAGTGTGGCTAGGATGACTTTGGCACCCTGAAGTGTGAAATTGTGAATTGCCACGTTTCCTACATCCCTGTGTAATCTTCCACAAGTGCAAGCCAGAGAGCAGTACTACGAATAACATCGAGATTATACGACGGATTCAAATTTGAAATTCATAAGAAATCCTTCTTAGTTCTTGTCCATGTCATGATGCCGCTGTTTACCTCTAGTCCGACAATTCAAAATTACTTGACTGAAGACTACAAAGTTTATTAAGATCCTCAGTGGTTGCTGCCACGAAACTGCGGTGGAAACGGGTGGATACGATCTCTGTTAGAATGGCGTTGATTAAGATCCTCTGCCATTGCTTTTCAACAAAAGAAAAAAAAAATCGACAAACCCCTGTCGTTGTTGTAACGGCATAACAATTCAACACAGATCAGAAGATAGGAAGGTTGGTGGCGATCCTCTGGACTTGGAACCATAAAGTGTGAACTGCCAATTTCCTGTCATCACATGGTAATCGTCAGAAGTCACACTTAGAGTGCATTATGCATACATGCGTGTAATTATGCATCAAGTTCCCCTTTCAGTTCTTGCCTATCTTTAAAATTCAAGAGTGAATTCCAGTTTTTACCCCTAAGTTTAACATTTTTGACGCTAATTACCCTATTTAAGAGAATTTCATCCGGCATACCCCATTTAACAAAAGTGTTGCCACAAATTACCCTCTTCTATTTTTTGTCAGTGTTCTGATCTATGGGCCCCGATTACCAGGTCCACGTGGCGTGCCACGTCGTCGGTTTTTTTCCTTGGCGACTTTTCTACAGACTGAACCGATTCGCCAGCTTCTGCCGACCGGACCGGGCCGATGGCAAGCACACGCAGACGCATGTCCTCACCGATTTACAGGTCGCTTGAGTCTGATGCACCACGATCCCATCCAATCCCGCCACGCATATCTCGCTGGAGTCTGTTGCACCACGCATGGATCACTAGAGGAGAGGGTAAACCCTGGACTTTGCCCATGGATCACCGGAGCATCATCAAACCAACCATCACAGAATCACTAGAGGAGTTAACTGCACCCTGTATCAAGCGAGAACTATTCACACATACAGTAGGCCAACGATGTATGTACTAGTTCCATGGAGAAACAATTCAGAGGAAGAAAGAAATACCTGAACTTGCTGACAGTGACGGGCGGGGCGGGATAACGCGCAAGCATGGGACTACACGCTCGAGGCACGGCAGCCGCACGCCATTGTCGTCGCCGCCCTTCAACACCCTCCGCCACCGTCGCGGCCCTTAGGCACCCGCCGTCTCCGTTGCCGCCATTCAGCACCCGCAGTTGCCGTCGATGTCATTCAGCACCTGCAGCTGCCGTCGTTTCCCTTCAGCACCCGCCGTCGCCGTCGCCGCCGCAAGCGAATCCCTAACCCTAGGCGCGAGCGAGAGTGGTGCGTGCGGTAAGAAGCCGGGCGACCGGTGCATGTGCTAGGCTAGACGCGAACGCGGTGCGGCCTGGGTCGAGCGTCGATCGCCACGACTGACGGTGCGTGCGGTTCAGCGATCCGGTCGGGCTCAGCGGCGCGGACTGGTTTCACATGAGGAAAAAACCCAGAAAAACCGACGACGTGGCATGACACGTGGACTTTGCAATCGGGACCCATGAATCAGAATGCTCACAAAAAATAGAAGAGGGTAAACCCTGGCAACACTTTTGTTAAATTGGGTATGCCGGATGAAATTCTCTTGAATGGAGTAATTAGCGTCAAAAATGTCAAACTTAGAGGTAAAAACTGAAATTCACTCAAAATTCAACGGTATACTCTCGGTTCAGTTGTCCCAGTTTACATGACAAATGACTATAAAAGTTTGTCAGAGATGCCCCGCTGTTACTGCATTAGCACACTAATTTTTAAAGGCAGCCAGTAAGCAAATACAACAAGCCTTATACTCAGCGCCCAGCAACATGGGAACAACCCGGGAGGCAGGAGTATGTGATGTTGGATCACTCATCAAAAGATATCCCGATATGTCCAGAAAAACGAAGAGAAATTGTCACCCGCTTGCCCAACGATCACTCTCCATCTTGCAGAACTAGGAGAGTCGCAGCCGCTGTCGATGGGCATCCCGTCGGCATCGCCGCTTCCCGCCGAGTCGCTCTCATGAGAGCGGCACAGGGCCTTGTGTTGCGGTTGTCTTTCCACACGCTAATATCCAAGTTAATCCAAATCAATATTTTTGTCTGTGACGCAAGCAAACTACCACACACGCTCTTGCCTTACACTGGTAAATCTGGACCAAATCTCTGCTCTGGTGTTTTTTAAAATAAAATTCCATGATGTTCCTCCACAAAAGCATCCATAGATAATGACCACCTTATGCATGTTGAAAAATAGTGCATAGAATGGGCGCAGGATGTTGAAAATTAGCAGCATGGACTTTGAAGGGAGCTTGGTGTAATTATAAAGCATGCTGCTGTGTATAATCTTAAACGAACTTGCAGAGTTGCAATGGGCAACGAAAATCTCATTCGATCGAGCATACCTCATTGAGTAGTTGCAACTTCGGAGCCACAAACAGCTTCCGGCGATGACAAGTAGGAAGCGTGCGTCGTTCCTTCCGTCCCTCCTCCTCCTCCTCTTATTTGGTCTCACCATCGCAGCCTTTGCCGCGGGCGATGATCAATTCATCTTCTCCGGCTTCACACAATCCAGCCTAGCCCTCGACGGCGGCGCCGTGGTCACACAAGGCGGCCTCCTCGACATGTCCAACGGCACAAACAATGTCAAGAGCCATGCGCTTTACCCCACTCCACTGCGCTTCCGCAATTCATCCACCGGTGGTAAAGTGCAATCATTCTCGGCCGCCATCGTTTTCTGCATCGTCGGCGCATTCCCTGGCGTGAGTGCCAATGGCTTGGCCTTCTTCATCGCCCCAAGCAGGAACCTCTCGGACGCACTGCCGACGCAGTACTTTGGTATCCTGAAGCAGCAAAACAGTGCCAACCTCTTTGTTATCGAGATTGACACCTTCCAGAACCCTGACATGCAAGACATCAACGACAACCACATCGGCATCGACATCAACAGCGTTTTCTCCTTGCCATCTCACGCGGCTGGCTTCTATGAAGACTCTAGTGGCGCCTTCAAGAACTTGACGCTGAACATCCAGATAGAACTGCAGTTGTGGGTGGACTATGAGGAGGAGGAAACAAGGATCAATGTGACCTTGGCTCCACTTCATGTGGGAAAACCCTCCAAGCCATTGTTGTCCGCGACCTATGACCTCTCAACCGTGCTCACGGAGACGGCTTATATTGGTTTCTCATCCACGGCTGAAATTATGGACACCCGTCATTATGTTCTTGGATGGAGCTTTGGCATGAACGGGCAAGCAGCTCCGTCCATTGACATCTCCAAGCTTCCAAAGGTTCCTCGTCTACGACAAAAGGGCCAGTCCATGCTCTTGGCGATCATCCTCCCAATAGCCACCGCGGCACTGATAATCTCTATCGGCACCATTGTCACTCTGATGGTGCGAAGAAAAAGGAGGTATAGGGAGGTGCGCGAGGATTGGGAGAGCGAGTTTGGTCCACACTGGTTCTCGTACAAGGATTTGTTCAAGGCTACTCAGGGATTTAAGAGCAAGAACCTAGTTGGAGCTGGAGGGTTTGGGGAGGTATACAGAGGGGTGCTTAAACTGTCCAAGAAGGAGATTGCCGTGAAGAGGATGTCCCATGAGTCAAGACAAGGGATGAAGGAGTTCATCACCGAGGTTGTTAGCATTGGCCGGTTGCGGCATCGCAACCTAGTCCAGCTACTTGGCTATTCCAGGCGGAAAGGTGAGCTGATGCTGGTGTACGATTACATGTCAAATGGCAGCCTTGACAAATATATACACTGTCAAGGGGATGACAAGCCCACCTTAAATTGGGCTCAGAGGTTTCAAGTCATCAAGGGTATCGCTACCGGCTTGCTCTACCTCCACGAAAAGTGGGAGAAAGTTGTGGTCCACCGAGACATCAAGGCAAGCAATGTCCTCCTCGACCATGAAATGAATGGGCGACTCGGTGACTTTGGTCTTGCACGGCTATATGATCATGGCACCGATCCACAAAGCACACACATGGTCGGCACAATGGGATACCTTGCCCCCGAGCTAGTACGCACAGGCAAGGCATCTCCTCTTACCGATGTGTACGCCTTCGGCATGTTTCTTCTCGAAGTTACATGTGGGCAAAAGCCTATGAAGCAAGATGCAGAGGGAAATCAGGTTTTCCTGGTGGACTGGGTCCTAGAGCACTGGAACAATCGACTGCTTAGCAGAACAGTGGACACAAGGCTCCAAGGCGACTACGGCGTTGACGAAGCATCCCTCGTGCTGAAGATAGGACTTTTGTGCCTGCACCCGTTTCCTGGTTCGAGGCCTAGCATGCGAGAAGTCATGCAATACCTCGACGGTGAGACCCCGCTGCCTGAGCTGAAGCCGACGCAGCTGAGCGTGGACATGCAGGGGTTGATGCAGGACAGCGGGTTCAACACTTCTGTAATGTCTTATCCCCAGCTGATGTCAAGCTTCGGCACAGTGTCCGACCTCTCGGGAGGACGATGATCTCCATGGTGTTAGTAATTCTGGCAACTAGTTGCCTGTGCACCCCATGTTTCCTTTTCTCTATTTTTGGACTTTCAAGTTCTCAGAAATTGTGAAATAATTCATGGATGTAAGTTATATTATATAATTCGCTTCTGCTAAAACTCATAACAAAATATACATCTTGTAACCTTTACAAAAAAGACAAATTTATATCATGTACATGTCATTAAACAGATGTACAGAACACTATTCATTTGAATCTTGTCACCTTTTTCTAGGTCATATTTTTTAGGAATGAAAAAAAATAAAAAAAAAGAGCACGGATGATATTCTAGCTTGACATATGAGTATGATGATCAATTAGATGTTCACATCTCTTCATTATGCTCATAACTCGTATAGCTAGAAATAAATTTCAATCTATTGGATGGGTTATTGAGAAAAACTAGCACTTTTTGAGGAATTTGAGAGGAATCCATCCTTACGGAAAATACTTTTTTTTTGCGATCCCTTACGGAAAATACATGGGTAATCATGGTTGTATGTGATCCCAATTACAAAGAAAGTATTTATCAAAAATGAAAAAAAATTGTACATGTACATTGAGTAAATATGTCAGTGTTATCTAAATTTAGTCATTTGTTGTTGTACAAAGGAAGATAGACACTCAACACTAGTAATTAGCAAGGTGCCCTCACAAATGCGAGGGCGTCATCTATTAGTACGTCAAATGTGTTAATAGTTTTAAAGATGAATCTTAACGATGGATAAGAACTGAAAAACAACTGAAAGTATACTGTTGAATTTTAAAGATGGACAAGAACTAGAATATCAACTTGATGCATAATTCCACGCGTGGATGAACAGTGCGCTCTAAATGTGACTTCTGACGATTGCCTTGGGATGACATGAAATTGGCAGCTCACACTTCAGAGTTCCATCAACCTTTCTAATATTCTGATGCTGAAATTTATTATGCCGTTACAGCAACGGCAGAGGATCTCAATCAACCTTTTTCGAGTATTATGTGTAGTAATTTGGATGTTGTGGAAAATCTGTTTGACGCAATACTGTTCTGTGGGATTTTTCAACAACAAATTTCCAAGATATATCTAAAACTGGATACAAATGGATGTATCTAGAACTAAAATACATCTAGATACATCCATTCCCAGGACAAGTATTTCCGGATGGAGGGAGTACTTAGAAAAGGTTGATTGAGATCCTCCGCCGTTGCTGTGACGGCATAACAAATTTCAAGATGAACAACAGAGGATTAGGAAGGTTGGTGGAGATAGTCTGGACCTGGCACTCTGAAGTGTGAGCTGGTAGTTTCCCATCATCCCAAGTTAGTCGCCAAAAGTCACAGCCAGAGAGTATTAATACACACCGTCTTAGATCATGCACTGCATCCACACATGGAATTATATCTACGCTTCCTTTTCAGTTCTTGTCCATCTTTAAATTCAACGGTATACTTCCGGTCCGGTTGACCAGATTTACATGACAAAAGACTACAAAAAGGTCGCTCGCACATCGATGTTCAAGCTAATCTAAATCAATGTCTTTGGTCTGTGACGCAAGCAAAACTAGGACGCAGTAGCTTAGACACATAAAGTTGGATCAAAGCAGTGTTCTAGAGCTAAGTTAACAAAAAGGAAGGCCTACCGTTGGTGAAAAGACTGCATGCAATGCAATGTTGAGAGTCCTCTGATTTGACTGATACACGGCCGAGTAGAGTAAGAGGTCCGGCATTTCCCAGCTATAATAACATCCATACATGCACCTGCTTATGCCAGCCATTTTTCATGCCCATGCTCATGACCATGTCCGGCATGAAGCGTATCTCCTTGTTGCTACTCAAGCTACTACTCTCTCTTGGCCTTAGCGTGGCACCACCCTTCATTGCCGGCGATGAGCACCAGTTCAGCTACTCCGGCTTTTCCAACACTAGCCTCACCCTCGACGGCGCGGCCTCGGTCACGCCCAACGGGTTACTTATGCTTACCAACGGCACGTCCCGGAGCATGGGCCGCGCATTCTATCCTGACCCGCTGCGCTTCCGCAATTCATCCAACGAGGCTGTACAATCCTTCTCCGTTTCGTTCATCTTCGCCATGGTCTCCATCTACAAGGACTTGACTTGAGCAGCAATGGAATCGCCATGTTCATTGCGCCGAGCAAGAATTTGTCCACGGCGATGCGGATGCAGTACTTGGGACTTCTCAGCAATCAGAATGATGGCAATCAGACAAACCACATCTTCGCAATCGAGCTAGACACCTTCCAGAACTGGGAGCTCCAAGACATGAATGACAACCATGTTGGTATTGACGTCAACAGTCTCCGCTCCATACAATCCCATGATGCCGGTTTCTACCATGACAAGAATGGCACCTTCCAGAGTTTGAGTCTCGATAGCCAAGAGGTGATGCAGGTGTGGGTGGACTACCATGGAGAGAAGATGCAGATTGATGCCACCATGGCTCCTCTCGGCATGGCCAAGCCTACAAGACCAATAGTATCAGCCAACTACAACCTCTCAAGCGTGCTCACAGATGTGGCATACATCGGCTTCTCATCTGCAGAAGGCAAGATAACGAAGCACTATGTGCTCGGTTGGAGTTTTGGCATGAACAGTCCTGCTCCAGCTATCAATCTCACCATGCTGCCAAAACTACCTCTTGATCCTCATACCAAGAATCGACGTCGTCTACCAGTATTGCAGATCATTCTACCACTTGCAACAGCAGCACTCATCCTGTCTGTGGCTGCCGTTATTTCCCTGCTTGTGCGGAGGCATTTCAGGTATGCAGAAGTACGTGACGACTGGGAGGTCGAATTCGGCCCACACCGCTTCTCGTACAAGGATTTGTTCCGTGCAACAGAAGGATTTGACAACAAAAACCTCCTAGGGGCCGGAGGATTTGGAAGAGTATACAGAGGAGAGCTGCCAAGCTCCAAACTAAGGATAGCTGTGAAGAGGGTGTCGCACGACTCCAGGCAAGGCATGAAGGAATTCATTGCAGAAATTGTCAGCATTGGCCGCCTTCAGAATCCAAATCTTGTGCACTTGCTTGGCTATTGCAGACGTCAAGGTGAGCTCCTGTTAGTGTATGAGTACATGCCCAAAGGAAGCCTCGATAAGTACTTGTATGGTGAAGTGGACAACTCCACATTAAGTTGGGACCAAAGGATTTGGATCATTAGGGGCATCGCATCTGCACTGATTTATCTCCACGAGGAGTGGGAGAAGGTAGTTGTCCACCGAGACATCAAGGCAAGCAATGTGCTCCTCGATGATGAGTTGAATGCACGGTTGGGTGATTTCGGTCTAGCAAGGTTGTATGATCATGGCGTTGAGCAAGAAACTACTCGTGTTGCTGGCACCATTGGATACATTGCTCCGGAGCTAGCACGCACGGGCAAGGGTACTCCTCTTACCGACGTATTTGCCTTTGGTGTATTTATTCTGGAGGTCACTTGTGGACAAAGACCTATCATGCAGAGCACACAAGATGAGCTGGTCATGTTGGTTGATTGGGCGCTTGAGCATGTGCAACAAGGGTCACTAGATGATGCAATAGATATAAGACTTAAAGGGCAGTACAATGTCAGCGAGGCACATCTGGCACTGAAGCTAGGACTACTGTGCTCACACCCATTTGCATGTGCAAGGCCTAGCATGCGGCAAGTGATCCAATACCTAGATGGGCATATTGAACCACCAGAGCTACCAGCACACCAGAGCTTCCAAGCACTGGCCTTGATGCAAAATGAAGGATTCGATTCATACATCATGTCATATCCTTCATCAAAGAGTGTTGGCACAATGTCAAGCATTTCAGGAGGAAGATGAGCACTATGTTTGATGGTGCTCAGAGTGCTTACTTATATTGCACATGTAATGAGGCATGTACGTACGTTCTTACCTTCGATAGCTAGATTTGTTGCTTCATGAACAAGATTGATAGGTCTGGTAGAATGATAAGTGCCATTTGAATAAAGAGTTTATAATAGGAGGCTCATCTTAGCTGCAGAGCTATAAAGTCTGTAATATAGTTCTGTGGTTTCTTCATAAAACGTTTTGTGATTATTTTTCTTTGTGAATCTGAATATTTATTCATTTGTTTCTCATGCATATCTTCTTGCATTTGTTTGTGATATCCTCTATTACCTGGTGATATGTAGACAGATTGAAATTGATTTGTCAAAATTTGGGAAGGGCTTTTCCACTACTGGTGGCCATGGCCGGGGTTGGAAGTGTGCTTCAGTGAGACGAACGGCCTTTCCAATTGCTTGTGCTTTTTATAGGAGTTTGTCCGCAGCGCATCCGTGCTTCTAGACCACTAGATCCAAATCCAATGACACTTGTATCTTCTTCCTTCTGTGGACATCAGCTCCGTCCTAGCTTAGGAATGGTTAAGGGATCGGGAGCAGCTCCACGCCGTCGACAAGATACCTCTCCTTGTCCCGGGAACAACACTTGCACCACCTCCCTCTTCTATCGACCTCCTTTCTTTTCCTACTTGGCCTAGGAGTGCATGCTATGCTCGCGCGCAGCAAAGTTAATCCATACTAGCAAACAAAAGCTCAACAGTGGCTATTATTGGTGGTGGATTAGAAGAGGAACAACATTTAACCAGTGATAAGAGAATGGAAGATGAAATGTACATTGGCATTCCATAAAGGAGATGCATTTACTTAACAGGCATTGGAACATATTGTAATCTTTCTTGTGAAAATGAAATAAACTGTAATTGAACTGAAGTACAACAGCATCATCAAACCTTTATATCACAACTGTATCCAGCACTAATCAGGGAGTCATTTGTAGCATCACAAGCTAATCTGATGGCTTCCCCTGCCACGTCTCATACCACATTGAAGATTAATTTTTTCGATTCAACCAGCTTCAGTGCTCAAAACAGTAAAACTATCAATTCGCACTTATAGCACATCCTGTCAAAAAAGAAAAAAAAAATCCTTAGGCAGTTAACCTCTGAGTCCCAAGAAAGGTTGTTCTGATCTACGGCCCACAAAGGAATTCAATACATCCAAATTACAAAAACAAGCATTACCTTAGTTGGAGACTCGATGCCTGAAGATGGTGTAAGAATATGTTCACCAATAACAAAGTTCTGAGGACGCATACATATGCCTTTGGTTTATCCACGACATTACACCAATCACGTGCAATTATCTGAGCTGAAAACATAGGGTTTCATGAGTTTAAAGGTTATACTCCCTCTTTAAAGAAATATAAGAGCGTTTGGATCACTATAACGCTCTTATTTTTCTTTACAGAGGGAGTAATTTTGTAAAAGCAAACATGTACACAGAAAAGGGCATGTCAATCAACCAAATAGCTAATGAGGTGCTGCCACATATCATCTACAGATTTAACCAACCCATTTACACACTGGGTGGGATTGTAGATAGAAACTACAGTGCAGTCTGCGACAGTTATGATATACCGTAGCGACATTAGTAAGATTGTTCTTTACACAATCAGTAACGAAATGTCCAGAGGAAACTCGGTATGTGAAACAGAGTTTTCTGGGATCCAATCCACCAGTATTGCAATATTTTACTTGTAACTCTATGAAGAGCATGAGAGTTAATAACGGAAGACTCCAATTGAAAAATCATCAAAGAGGTCCTAAAAAGTTCCAATAACTGGAGAAGGATCCTAAAAAGTTTTCAGCTGGAGAAGGATCCAATAATATGGCAACATACGTGGTCAGAACAATTCCAAGGATCCTAAATAGTTCTGATATCTGGAGAAGGCACTGGGTCGATGATAAAACAACGAAAGGTCGGCATGCAACTCACGGATAGCGCCATGAGAATACTGATGTGTGGTCTCAAATCCTCTGTGAGAAGCTACCATTATCATCCATTGCGTCACACCAGACGCTAACACAGAGGGACATATACTCCAAGTTTCAAAAATCAGGAGCACCGATGCATGAAGAAAACGATCCCCTACTGTGGAACACTAGCATTCCAGGTATCCTCTACTGTTGCTTGGTGATGATACCAGTATGGTGGCAAATTTTTATACAGCAGTGGAAATCGCTGAAATCGGCGATGTGGGACTGAATATATCTCAGTGTCGTATAGGTTGTACAGTCCAGATCGTTCTTACCCTAGCCCGAGAGGCCGGCCGCGCCTGCCCCAGCCCGCTCCCCCCCGCGCGCGTTTTCCACCACGGCGCCTGTCCCTCCGCCTCCTCCATCACTCCCGTTGCCGGCGCCGGTGCTCGCCGGCCACCATCGGCCCCCTCGACCCTATCTCCAGCCGGTCCCAGTTCACTCCGGCGCACGAGAGGTCGGGGAGTGCAGATATAAAGAAGCAAAAACAAGCTTCGAGAGACGGACGGCGGCGTGGAGGGCGACGGGAGCGCCGACCGCCGATGGGAGCTACAGCTCTCGCAGGCGTGTTGAGCGGGCCGTGGCCCAACAGCTATTGATTTCGTTCGCTCGCCGTCCTCGCTCAACCGCCTCGCTAGCATTTCTCAAAAAAAAGAAAAACGCTTCTTAGCTGATTATTCGCCATGGCCGGGAAGGCTCTAGTGCCGCCGTCGCCGTCCTCGTCTGAGAATTTTATGTCCCCTCGCCACCAGCTGCCATCTTGGCGCTGAGAGATGGGGGACCTTGGATCTTCGAGACCTTTATGTTCTTCGTCAATGTTTAGTGATCATCATAGTTTTTTGAGAATACTTTTTTTCCTCATTCTTTTGACGGTGCATGTTGTACTTGTCCCATTTTTGAGAAGCACATCTATATTTTTTTCCTTCTGAAAAGCATAATTGTGTTGTTCCCTTTTCGGGAAGCACAAGTTGTGCCTCTCGCGAAAAGCACAATTTTGATATAGAGATCACCTGCTAATGCCAATGCCTTGCAACGCGCTAGGGCTAAGAGTGTCACCGGATCCAAGTTACCCGGGAGCTCCCATCTCAGATATAACACCATGCACATTGGTCTTCATGACACCACACCTACTTTGAAACTACCCTCATGTCCCATCTCTACCTGCTTAATGTCCTTTTAGCTCATCCAAAAATTGGTTACGAAGTAATGCATCGGTAAAGAACTTTGAAGAGCCCCCTCGTAGATGTCCTTGCACCATCCAGATCGCCCCATGAAGCGTTTATGAACTTCTCTAATCTTAGTGTGCTCTATCATCACATGAATTTGTTGTCTTGTATCGGTTTCTGAGCTCATGCTCATATCTCGAGTGAGCTCCGCATCAGCAATAGCCTGGAACGTCCTGCATGCCTCCATGGTGTGTAGCACTGTATCACTCCTAAGGCCTAGCGTGTGGAGGAGAAGGTGGCATTAGAACGAAGTCCACTGTTGCACTCAGTAGTGTAAACAAGTGTTTTTTTTTACACTTGACAACCTAAGTTTACAAGTTGTAGTGTTTTTTCTTTATTTTTTATTGGACAATCCTGATAGGGAGTCGGTGGGATTTCCTATTCTATGCATGGGTCGCTGGATAGCGACCACACACATACCCTCCTGGGCGTTTGTAGACTGGCCCACTATTCTTTCTCCCATCAGTTTTGGGAAAGTTTGATTCTAGAACCCGGCGGGTGAAAATTTATTTTTCTGATTTTTCTTTGATGATTTTACAAGTTATCTCCATTTTTTATTTTCCTTCTTTTTTTATTTTAAAAATAATGAATAATTTTTGAAAATCATTCGTGAACATTTTTTAATTTGCGATATTTTTCAAAATGTTGTTTTAAAATCATGTTTTATTAATTTGCGAATATTTTTTAAATTTGGGAACATTATTTTGAATTCCTGAACATTTTTTCATATCCTAGTTTTTTTGTATACATGAACATATTTTAAATTCATGAATGCCTTGAAAATTTTATGAACATTTATTGGAAACACGTGGATTTTTTTGAAGTTTAAAAAACAACTAATCCTAAATATTTTTAAATCACAAAAAAAATCTAAAATTCTAATTTTTTTGGGCTTTAAACATATTTAAAAATCACAAAAATTTGGAAAAAAGTCAAATATTATTTTTCAGAATTCATGATTTTTTTGAAACCCACAAAAATATCTTTTTTTTGCAACGTATTTTAACAGAAACCTTTGGAAATAACCAAATCCGGTCAAGAAATTGTCTCAAGAAAAATCCAGCCAAAAAAAAACGCTGGCAAAACACCGAAATCACTAATTAAGGAATACTCGTTGCAAAGAACACTCCATCTTTTCGGGTCACGACAAGTGGCGCACATGAGGGGCCTGTGCGAGTTGTGCGCTCGCACAAGGCCCCCAAAATTCAGGGGCCCCCAATTTGGGTCCAAATGTATGTATTGGTCAAGTGTGCCTATTCGCCTGAATCTCTCCTTTTGGGCCTCATTGCAGGCAATCTCCCTGTCCCGATCTGAATCTGATTGATCGATCGCGAGACGAAAAGGCATCACGTATATATAGATTTCTTGCCTGTCTTTCTACCCGACTGAAATCTGCTATCTGGCTCTCTCTGTAGATCGGAAATTAGCAGGCTACAGGTGGCCGGCAGCGCCGAAACCGCACGGAAATATCAGGCGCCGGTTGACACCGCTGCGCCAGCCGACACCACCACGCCGTTTAGAACACAGGTGACCAGCGGCGTTTAAGTAATCGGTGCCCTACAAGCTCTTTTTTTTTAGAATTTTGATTGATACAAACTGCAAAGCCCTACTGCTCCCGTATCATTATATTATTATTTCTCGGCAAATTGCTCTGCAGTTGAATTGTTTGGGGGAATATAGTGTCACGCATCCAAGATTTTTAATAGTTGCTCGTTCAAAATCAATCTTTATTCTTTTTTTATTCCGTATAAGCCTAT